TAAAGGCTGACGGCGGGACCCCACTCCAGAGCCTGATACCGGCAAACAAAGGGACACTACACCCACAGGAGACAGAAGATCTGGCAACAAAAAGGGAACTTCAAAATATGCTCACCGACCTCCAAACCAACCTCAGGACAATGTGGGAGGCGGATCTGGCGGTTCTTAAAACAGAGGTACAGGCCGTCAAAACGCGCACACAGACTGCAGAAAGAAATGTAATAGGCCTACAAAAAGGCTTTAACGCACTCAGTGACAAGGTACAGCATTTGCAGAATACACAAGCTGAAACCAACAAACAAGTGCACATACTAGACGACAGGGGCAGGAGAAAGAACATAAAGGTAAGGGGAGTAACAGAGTCCATACCCGTAGAAGAATTGCCACACTTCATAAGAAGGCTGGTGGCATCACTACTGCCAGCAAGAGAAGCCAAGTACTTCTCCATTGATGGGGCATACAGAATAGCCAAATCCCCTAGGGCCCCTGAAAGTGCACCACGAGACATAATCCTGAGGTGTCAAGCAATGTCCAACAAGTTAAGCCTGCTAGCGGCGACAAAAGGGAAGACGCCATATAACTTTTAGAACTGTAAAATTTCCTTCTTCCAAGATCTTAGTAGAGCCACACTACAGTGGCGAAAAGCCATGCAACCCCTCACGCAGACCCTACAAAAAGAAGGACTGACCTACAGATGGGCGACACGGCACATACTGTGGGTCACCAAAAACGGAAAGTTCTATAAGGCCACAGACCCTGCAGACGCTCCCGCACTCTTGGCGGCACTGGACTTACAACCTAACCCTACGCACGTACCGCCAGATACGCAACCCCGAATGGACACTGACTCGGAAACGTCTTCACACAACCCCGGAAGAGGCAGGAGGCCAAAGACCTGAACCAAATAACATGCCTGGCTATCTCATGTTGCAGTGGCATATACGTGACTTTCTTAGTCACAAAGTTTTGCAATTGTAACACTACAAATTTCGCTTAATTTGCCTACTCTTACACACACTAATGCACAGTCACTCTGCTTTGCTGAAACACCCAAAGGACACACACAGCGCTCACACTATGCTCAGGAACTCTCCCCTCCCATAGTTCCAACACGCCACGGAGAAAAAGACAAGGGGACAAGGGACCAAACACACAGATGAGGGCCACACGATAGGACTTACACCACTAGTACTACCTCATAGAAATAGCCCACTCACTGGAGACGGAACCAAGATTTCAACTGGAACCACAGCTCTGCCACCTAGTGGGGCCGACACAACAGAGACACCAACACCTCTCCCTTCTACATACACCCGAGCGACCTAGACACCGCAAAACTCACTGGCACGCAAACTCTGCAGCACCACTCATAGAGGGGGTTTATTAACCCATATATGGACCAACTCGCTACAACCCGACAGTCCATCACACTTCTAAAAATGTGCAGCACGCTCACCAGACATAAACCACAAACATATGATGTTACATAAGATGTTTACTCATGTATCAGACCAAAACTTAAAGAATGTATGTACGTTGCATGCAAATCTGCACCAAAAATAAAGAATTTATACCAAGCGGAGTTCTAAAAACAGAAAAAGGCGGTAGTCAGAGTATGTTCAGCAGCTATAGAATTAAAGAAAACAATGGAATATTGCCAATATGACTTACTGATTCCTTACAATCCAGCTTTATCCAGGTTCTTAAACTGCAGAAGTCCTGAGGAAGTAGATATTTCTTAGAATGGAAAATAGGGGTGGAGGTGGGTTTCTTGCATACACCATAATTTAGAGCTACTTTGGCATATAGACAGATAGTTATGTATACTCTGAAAGCTGCCACATAGAATTGATTGAGAACTTTGGGAAATCGGGGTAAAGTGAGAGAACCGTAGTAGATGACCAAGCCAAAACCTGTGCCATTTAGACTGAAGTATAGTACAATTTAATGCCAGGAAAGCTAAATCCCCCCAAAGACTTTGGTCTTTATAGAACCTTTCTATGATTAGACAAGATAAACAAATCAGTAGTGGATTGAACTACTTTGATATCCCTCCATATCAATGGAACCTGCAAGTCTTGAAACAGACCTGCCAGTCCATGAGATCGTATACCATTTGTGACCTTTTCATCAGATAATTTTAAAGGTTTATATTATAGGGGGATAGTTGGCTTCATAAAACTACTCCAGGCATTCTTTCAAATGTATGCTTGTTTATTTCAGTTTAGTATGTGGAATATATGTCATAAGTGATCTGGTAATAGACGTCTGAAAATGTGGTTATCAGTTAAAATATATATGGAAAGATATTAATCTAGATTTGTACTAGACAATAGGAAGTTGTCTACATGTGGATATCAAAAGGATCTCCTTGCTCACATCACTGTCACAGACATCCTAACATGCATTTCAGGGAGGTGGCTTCAACAGCTACTGCGCCACCCCACCACCCCACACACACGTGGCATTGAAGCACCAGGAGCTGAAGAGGACCCCCTGGAGAAAGATAGTAGTGCCCCAAAGGGACAGGTTCAGGTAAGCGAAATATCACTTTTTACCTACCCCCTCTCTACTGCTGAGTGTGAGCTATTTGATCATATGTATACCTTTGTGTCTCTGTAATATGTATAATAATCAAAATTGATTTATATGACTTTTTATTCTTAAATCCGCATATTTATATTCACAAAAATATTTGTTTTTTGCAATGGAGATCGCGCAATTAATATAAAAGTGGAAACATATAAAAGTGCAATAACATAATATAAAAATAAAAGTATTTTTACATATAATCTGCAACAAAATAACTAAATAATAATTAGATAATATTTCCATTTTTGCTGCCATTGGTGCAAACACACACACACACACATATATATATATATATATCTATCAAAAAGGTATGCAAGGAGCACTCACAGGTCTTCATCCAAAATCTAATTTATTCTTAGGTGCAAATTACATGTGCAAGTTTAGACGATCAACGTTTCGACCCCTACAGGGTCTTCTTCAAGATCAAATATACAGTGAGTAAGGTAAGTATATATACACAATCATAAATACTGATAACTTACCAACAGGTGTGTGGAAAAGAAAAAAGCCGCCAGCCGTCCGAAACCCGGAAGTGTGCCAGAAAGATCACGTGACTAACGTGATAACGGCGTTGCTAAGCAACGTGTAAAGCTAAGTATATGTATAGCCGGCTGTGCTGAAAAAGACAGAGGAAATAAAGTGATGTGTAGTGATCACCTTATGCAGGGATCCATATATAAAGGAAAACCTGTTCTAAGGAGGATATAAGTATGAGTCACCTATTAGTCCTATGGAAGTCATCCATGTGGAAGTGAGCCACTTAGGATATACTAAGAATGTGAAATATACGTGACAAATAAGTGAAGAAACAGTGTAACACGAAAACCAGTGAAAGATATCCAGAGGTGCCCACCCACAGAGAACCTGTTGCATAGGAACTGTCTAATAATATTGTAGCAAATAGGTTTTTTGTGTGCATAGCGCACCAAGTAAATATTACTGTACTATACATACATGTTGTAATTTAATGCCAACAATGAGTATGATAAACAGTATATCTTTAAACACATCAGATCGCAGAATATACAATAATAGTTTATACACAAATTATGACATAATTACATATGGCAGTGACAGGCACCGTGTCTATCTTAAAGGCACAGTGCCTACATTAACCAATTCTTCTTACAATATTACAAAGTGAGGGGCTGCTGAGCTGCATCCTTATGGAAAATATGCCAGTGAACCATATCGATTTCAAATATGTACCATAATACCACCTATACAATGAACTGAGAAAAACCTGCAGACTTCATGACAAATACATTACATACTAATAATATATTACAATTGTCACATATATAGAATAGCTAACACTTTTATACCAAAAGCAAGGAAACATCCTAACCAAAATTAGTGAAATTTACAAAAACATAGAGTACGTATTGTACTCGTTAAGACCTTTAGGTGTGACTGTATCCAATCTAAAAATTCAGTACGCTTCTCTTTGGAGCAGAAGTTTAGATCTGTCACCCCCACGAGATAACGGAGGGACATTATCAATGGCCACAAATTTAAGTGTAGGGAGTCTATG